ACTTCGTTACAAAGAGATTTGCGACAATTTGGTTGTGCAGTAATGTAGAGAGCTGGTAATGCAGATAGCACAGATAGAGCACTTTTTCATCGATTGTCAACAAACCAATACCACAGATTCATACTCCGAACAAAAAAGCCAATTGCGACAAAGGTAGAGCTAAACCACATCCCATTGAGATGAAGGCTACTTAAAAGGCTTTCTCTAAGCTTTATACTCACCAATGCCCTCAGTGCCTCCCCAGTCAGCTGTCACCCCTGAAAATTCCAGCTTCTGCGATCCAAGTCGGGCATGCGAGCTGCCAAGGCGGGCATGCGCACAGAGGTACTGACAGATGTCGTGGAGCGATGAAATAAGTTGCTATAACAAGAATAAAATAGAAACCGCATTAAGATCATGCAAGCATCTTTGTTCACAAGTGTTCTAAATATAGAACAAAAAGACTATGAGGGAAAAAGTGAAGTTGGTTAATTGGTGAAAAAAAATAAACACAGGATCATTTCAATGACAGGAACAACTCACCAGCATCACTTTGAGAGCTGCGTTTCTTTGATCTCCTTTCATTTTAGAAAACATCCTTGTTATCTGAAAATTTTAAAAAAGCAAGAACATGATTTAAGAGCGCCTATCGATTGAGTTTTTGTTTCGTCATGTCAGAAGAAAGGAAAATATCTTTAACAGCCAATGAGAACTCAAATTAAAACCGGGTGAACTGCCCAAAGCGCGGGAAAACGCAGGTGACCAAGTCCCTTTTTGATTACTTTTCACACTCAATTGAGACAATCGTTGACTTCAGTAAAAAACTAGCAAGGTTGTTCATATTCCATAAGGTGTAAGGTTATCATGTGTAAAAAGCTGCATCAATAAGTAACTTATTTCAGGCCTTTTGCTGATCACCCATTGAATGTTCTCTCTTTACCTCGGTGTAATGAGGAATAAACCAGAGGTTTAGCAAACTTTTGCCATCGGACGACAGCAGCCTTCTAGGTCTGGGTCTGAATTGCCTAGGAAAAATTAAGGCTTAAGGTGTGAACGTACAGATTTAATCTTAAAAAATAAATAAATACAGCGCGCTATTATATTACATTTTTTCACGTGTGTTGCACGATGATAAACACAATAGCTTCTATTTTGTGCGAAAATATGCACGGATATTTGACGTGGACATTATCTGTTCCAAGAAGCGAACAGCTTTCCGAAAGCGAACCGTAAGGAAAACTGTGAGCTGAGATACTGGTTTTCGACATTCCATCGCTCTACCTCTTTAACCTGCAATTATTGAGACATTTTCTCGTTTTCCAAGAACCTGAGGTTTACGACTCCCTCGAAAGCAAAATCACTCTTCCTAATATCATTTCCTATTTTCAAAGAAAGCCCGAAAGAATACAATATTAAGACCTTCCAAAAAGATAAAGTTAAAAACAAAAACACGAACAAAAACAGAGAGAAAAACAAGATATGTGGAATACAGCAAAAGAGAAAATTTTGTCATGTACAGCAAGGGAATGTAACGTACTTGGGATCAGAAACTAAGTTATCGTCTTCTTCAGTTTTCTTCTCATCTTCCTCACCAATAACAAAATGAGCATCTCTAAGAAACAAAAAAAGAGTAGGATTTAATGACAGTTCTTACCCGGCCAAGGTACGATAAGTTTGGGGTGGGAGAAAACAACACTGGGTCGAGTACACGATGTCGAGGCTTTGCGGAGGAAAAAATTCGACCCAGTTATTTTGACTCTGACTAATGTAGGCTGGCTCTAATCCCATAAATTCCTCGTATAACTACACCTCTTCCAGCAAAATATAAAGGAGCAAGCGTAGCAGAATTGTTGTTACGCTGGTCTTAGAATTAGGCAGTCCGGTTTCAAGCACTCCCTCTTGCTAACCACAAGATTGGTCTTACTTGATTAAGCTTTGTTCACAGCCACTCTTTGCTTTATGTGACTGAGCATGCTAAGCTTTTTTTAAGGTTTTTTCCTTGCCTGAAATTTTAAACTGTTACATAAGGCGTAATGGACTGAACAATGGATTCTCATACGTACCTCGTGGTTGGAAAGTCAGCCATAAGATTTAACAGACTTGCAGAATAAGCGATTATCTGCAAGACACAGGAAAAGCGTAATTTAAAAAAAAAATTGAAAATACTGAAATAAAATGGCCTTACTCCTAAGTTTAACTTCAAGTTTTTGCCCCGTATATTCGTGAGGATGACGAGTCTCCCACAACTACAGCGGTTTTAAAAAGATTCAAAGTACCACATAAGTCGCTCAGAAGTATACCATCAATCTTGAATATTAACCCTGTTTTACTAACTTTGACTTGAAGAAGTCACTTCAGGAAATTTGAAAACGTTTTTTCTGAGACCTAAATTATCTTCAACGTGGTGGAAACTGTAATATTGATATGATAGGGTAAACACCAAAATGGGGATGATAAACGAAAGAGATCGAAGTTGTGAAGAAGATTAACATGGATTACGGGTGGCCTTCGTCAAAGTGGTCGTCCAAAAGCTGTGACCACGTCCACACCCTGTGGCACAATCAGTGACGTAAGTATTTCAATACAGTACGGCATACGGAAATTTGCACGACGAAATAGCTACCTGAGACTGCAAGGAATACTGGGACACTCTCTTGTGAAGATTTTCGCAGAAATCCGTGACTAATTTTCTAAGCAAAGAAACGTCGGAATAAAGTAAACAAATAATCTAGGAATGAATGAATGAATGAATAAAGTAGGTAATTTTCTAAAGAAACTGTGGTGTTGCGTCGGTGGAGGATATTTTAAGATAATTTGGTTTTAACAAGTGAGTTGATAATGTGAATTGGCCACCGTGAAGAGTTTTCTTAAGCTGACGTTTCGAGCATTAGCCCTTCGTCTGTGATTAATACGTTCAGTTCGGAACAAATTCCACCTCCAACTGGTTTATTGATCTCTTTTACAAATTTGCTTCCAGAACTGAGCTAGGAAACTCACCTTTTCAGCTTGATAACCTCATCAATATTCTTCATGACTGTTCCCAATTGTTCCTTTTTGTGTATATAGTCATTTAACATTTTATCTCTCAAAAACGTCTGGAAAAACAAAACGCTGTTTTATTTTTTGGAAATTTTATATTTGACAGATTACAAAAATGTAACGTGATTTCTAATTGATAAACGAAAGTCCAGCGGGAAAAAGTAATATTTTGGAAGAATCGAACATGGTACTCAAAAGAGAAAAGAAGAATTTTTATAAAAGATGTTTTCCTATTTTGCAACACACCTTCTCCAATTGCACCGATACAAACACTTCCTGAAGCTTGCGTTCAAACTCTCGGTCCAGTCTCTTGGTGGAGAATGGTGCAAGATGAGCAGACGTTCCCTCGCCTGAACTAGGCCGACTGGCAAAGGAAGTGTCATGCGAGGAGCCTGGGGACAATCCAGCGCTGAAAGTGAATCAAATGTCAAGAGAGTCAGGTTATCACTTAGGAGGACAAAATTTTGCATTTGTTCAGGCTTTGTTTACTTCATTCGTGTAAGTAGATTAGAATCGACATTTCAGTCATTTTATCGTACCCTATAGGGCCCGGCGTTTACAAAATGGCTACATTAAAATCAAAGTTCTCTTAAAAAACCCAATGATTAAAATGAAAGAATAATTTAGATGCTTCAAATACTTAGCTCGTACTTTGCCCTTCGCTATTGTTTTGCGTGCGATAAAAAAAAAGAACTTATTTTCTCGAAACTGCGCATGGAGGTCCTCGAAACGTTCTTCAAGCGTCTCGATCCTCAATAGTTTCGAGGATGAATTTCCCTTGGGGTTTGCAACGTCAAAAAAAGCACTTCAATGCCATTTTTTCATCTTGCAGTTTAATTGACTTAATCTCTGGACAAATACCTTTTCTCGGTTTCTGCTTCCTTCGCTTTTGCAGCTTTGATGATTTTTGAACAGCCTTCAAGTTGAAGAATGGATGCAACGATAAGGTTTTTGTGAACAACCTACAGGCAAAGCAAAAAGTCAGATACTCAAGGTGTCCAAAGTAATTATAAGTGATCAAATCATCCAACCGAAAATCACATGATATAAAAAAAAGTAAAACGAATTGAGCACTATTGATAAATTTACAAGTATGCATGGAGGTGGAGGTATCCATCCAAAGCTTGTATTGAAAGAGAGATAATTTGCGAAAATAAACCGTTTCGTATAATCGATCGATATTTGATCAGGTTGATCAATTGTACTGACCTGAGCCATTAGGATCGTTTGCAACTTTTCCACGCCTGTTCCTGACATAATCTGCAACGGAGGGATTCTGATCACATATACGATTGATAATGGTTATAGGACCGAGAAGAGTCCAATTCGGTCTGTAATCATGTGAGCGATTAACAAAATCGAATAAAAGCGAAGCCGAAGTTCGATCTGTTAGTAACGAGTATCATTTCAGACAGCTTTTGATGCCTGTAGATAGTCTTATAAAGTATGCACCTCGACCTCGTTCACATACTAAAGATCTTTTTTTAGTGCAATCTTTATACGATTATACACTGGGTTGTTCGATGTGTTATCAACGTACCTGCAACAACCCTTCTCTTGTGCGAAAGCTGAACGTGCCCAAATGCTTTTCATCCAGTTCTTGAATGGCCAGAGGAGTATATGCTGGTGTGTATCTGAAAAAAAAGTGCGAAACCCAGATAGAGTGAGACATGGGGAAGAAAAATGAAAACCAGAATAACACGGTATAAACATATTCAATTGTGGACATTGGGAAACGATCCTTCATGGTAAAAAGCAAAAAGGGTCTTTCTGATGTTCTCCTTTCTACCGATTGGCCGTTGTGGTTGTAAAGTTATTCGGATGTAGAACAAGAAGGCAGAAACAGTTTTACGACTGTGTTGTTTATTCAACGCACACACACCCAGGTCGAAAAGTTGAAGCGGAAAGCATGGTCTGCCGGTTACCATGGCATTAGTAACGTAACATAGACCGGAAATGAATTAACGATTACATCTATATCGTTACAGTGGTTACTTGAGTTTTGGTCTCGGGACACTTAGAAAAGAAAAGCTCTTAATAGAGCCGAATAGACTTAACCAGAACAACAACAAAGGAAAAGGGTTGTATTATCACCTGTCTACCCTACTATCATCTTCTTGTACCACGGTAATGAGAACATTTTGTATCTCATTATCTGGTTTTGCCTGTGCAAAGTCAAACGACACGGCACGAAGAAACGCATGGTATTCATCAAATCCAATCTCTTTGGCTTGTCGCTTGTATGCCTGTGGAAACACAAATGTTGTTAACTCTTTTGAGGTGAGCATCACCGAATTTAGCATGAGTAAATTTCTAACTTGGCGCAAGTCTCTAAGAGATGGGAGTGTCTAACTGTGATGCAGAATGCCATGCGCGTAGATCCTGCCATTTTTACACTGGTGAAACTGTCCTGTGAAACTCAACCTTCCATGGACAAATATCCTGTTTGCGAGATAGTAGCAATAGTCCAAGTCGCTTCATAATACTGAAACTGGGATAAGTTCTGGCCTTAGAGAATTTGCTTATGCTTGCCTCTCCTGGGATTTGGGCAAGGCGATTGCGTGGCCTATGGCCATGATCCATACTAATGTAGGTAAATCAGAGGATTGCTGTCGCGATAGGGTGTTAAACAGAGAAAGACTACCTGAGTAATCGTCCAGGAAACACACTTACCTTCGTGACTACATCTGTTTCCTGGGCAGCAGTTATGAGCCTGTGTCTTAAAGTTATAACCTGAAACATTCAAAGGAAAATATGAGCCGCTTACTCTACCATTTGTAAAGTTCCTCGCACCGCAAAAAAGGTAAAAACAAAAGTTATTTTCTATTTTTTGGGTATGTACCCGTTTAAGACATCGCACTGCTTACCTCCAACAGTTTTGACCAGGTCTCCGTGAGTATCTTTTGTTTTTCCTTAACAGACTTTCGTCCTCCCTTTTTGGAATTGAAAGCTTGGTTTACCAGGGACTGTGCAACTTCACAAACAAAGATAGGATCTTCCACGAATACTTCAGAAAAGAGCTGAGATGAAAGAACAACATTGAGGTGTTAGATATTAATTTTGAATGTTTACTGACAATCGGTTCAATTTGTCATAGTGAAAGTACCAGAATAAAAGAAATTATGACAGAAATTGCGATAGGAGCTTCAACGATCAACCTTTTATATAAAATGTTATCAATGAAGCGTTCACAGTGGCCCATCCCCTTGTTTTAAGGCTGTGGTACTCACGTCTTTCTGTGTCTGCAGTGCAAATGAGTGGCCAGTTGGTTCCTGACTGTCCCATTCCTTTTGTGCTACTTCATATAAGCGACGTTCAAGTGATATCATCTCTCCTGTACTTTTTGGTTTGTGTATCTGGATAAACATCTAATAAGAAATCACGTTGAGAAACTGGGAAAATACCATGATCACTTAAGAGATAAAAGACCACATTAAAAAATTCATATTAGATTAAAATAACATAAAATGAAAATGCATGAAGAAATAAATAGATAAGTCGGTAGATAAGTAACTAAATAGATAAATAAGTGAACGAAATGTCAGGGTGTAAGGATGCTTACTTGATAATATCGATAAAATTGAAAGCGCCGAAGATGCTTGCTGAGCAAAAATTACCTTGGCGACTTAGTTTCTTTACTCTTTTTTAACCCAACTAACAGCCAACAGTTTTACAAAGTCGTGTTGTAAGAGGATCTTCCATGATAATTACGATTTAAAGGTTTTTGATGACTTGCTTCCGAGTGCAATTCACAGATGCATGAGCAGGTGAGTTTAATTTTTTGTTTTTGTTTTTAAGGCACAGACTAGCACTAAAAAAAATCCACCAAGAAATACTTCATGCAAGTTACAAAATAAGGAAAAAATGCATACCTTCAAAGCGCTCTGCAATGCCTCGTATACTCTGCTGGCTAGACCAAGGGATGGATGGAATTCCAACATGTAGACGTATCTAAGGGCGGGTCTGTGACAAAAATCAATTCATAGTAAAGTTTTAATACATGCTTGCGTCATCAGGAAATAGAATAAATTTAAGATCACAAGGTTTAAGCTTAATACGAAAATATATTTATTATATGGCTGTAAAAAAAATTCACCATTGGCGCTAAAGTTTGGCTTTTTCGTACGTTTGTGTTTTTTTTAAGGCTAGCGACAGTCCCTCTTCAAAGGCTTCTGTATTGCAAAAGCGATATGGTCAGGGAGGGAGCACCTGTGATTGAGGAAAATCGCAACAAATTGGCCTGTTCTGTTCAGTAATAGATCCCAGATTACCTAAACTATGGTAAGAACAAAAAAGTGGCATACGAGGCACAGCTGAGTGCGTCACTGATCTTCTTACCACTTCTGGTGACCCACAGCAACTTGGAATCTATTTATTTTTTATCATACCAAAGCAAAATGTTAAAATGGCTTTAAATATCTGTATCAGTTTCCTTACCGACTGGTGTTCACTGCAATATGCTGTTGAGGAATGATCCGACGGGGAAGACCAAACAACGCTGTAAGAGTTACATTAAAAAAAAAGGTTATGGTTTCATCAAAATCATTCTATTAAGTCAAAAATTTAAATTTCCTCTTTTGGCGGCTTGTAAAATGCTTCTTTTTAAGTATCATAAAATTTGCATAAAACGTGTCCCTGTTTCATTACACCAAGTATAATTAGGTGAAGAAGAAATAAATGCATTCCCCTGTCAAATAATAGCATGATCTGCGAAAAGCTTGTTAAAATAATCAAGTTCTAATATCAAATAATTATTTTCAACTAACTAGAATTATCTTCCCTTGAAACTTTCTGAATGTACTCTCGCTCATCGTCAATCTGAAATTGAAGAAAAAAATTGAATGATCTCTCTGTGAGTTCGTTTGCAAATCAAAGTTAACGTGAATGTTACACATGTAAAATTTTTAAGATTTTGTTTGGTAGTTACAGCCTTCACACTCTAACATACGTATTCATTTTCTCTATATTGTCCTCTTTACATTTTTCTAGTACAGACAAGGGAATTTGTTAAACAATCAGGAGCTTCTAAAATAGGTGATCATTTACCTCATTCTCATGACTTTCACAGTATCAAGGGTGATGAAGTGAGGATAAATTATGAGCCAATCACTCTAACAAAAGCTCTAACTGTTGGAACAAGTTAATGCCTTTTAACTGGAGGTGCCCCCCGTATAAAAGTGTACCAAAATACATGTTTCCATACTACACCTGTTTGTCGAGAATTGACTTGATTAAGTTGCAATGAAGTCGCAGACAGACACATTCAGCTCGATATGTCTTCACGAAGTAGTCAGCAGAAAAATCGTATCTTGGTCTCGAGTGCATCACATTAACCATAATCTGAGATGGAAAAAATAATGAGAATCAAATGGGCTATGCCACAGTTCGTCCAACTTGAAAAATTTATCACCTACAAATTTCCCGCCGTAACCCTTATCAGTGCCCCTGTAGGTACTAGCTATGGAAATCAGTAGGTCTATTTTATCAAATTGGGAGGAAAACTTCCAAGGAAATTAAAAAAAACTATTCAACAATTATAAAAAAAGAAAAAAAGCAAAGAAACAAACAAAAGACATTCAAACTTAAGTGGAAATAAATACCGGGGATCTTTAATAAAAAATTGTCAATCATTTCGACTTCGACAAACCTGAGCGAGCCGTTTTTTCTCTTTTGGGTCAAAGACATGATGATAAGCCTCCAGATAACAGTCTAACAGCTGGAAAAAAAACGAATAAATAAATAAAAAATTAAAAGAACATAAAAAGATGTCCTCAAACTTTAATTTTAATTTATGGGGAACTTTGGTATTATAGGTTCTCGCTCACTAAAAAAGCTCAAAGACAAAGGCAAAGAATTGAATTCAAGCCAATCCACCACTTTGGGTCCAGCGCAATATCCATGAGGCCGACATCTCCCCCTACTGAATGACGTAAAACCCGCCCTTTGCACCGCCAGGAAATACTACAGGTATATGGAAAGTATCTAGTCAGGACAGTTACCTGTCTCTTGTTTTCCAAATATGCAGCTTCATTTGTCCATAAATCCAAAAGAACAGCAAATCTGTCCACTTGCTGATGACCATACGCTGCCAGATCAATGTGATCTCCCTGAAACTGATATAAGCACAAAATATACTGTCAAGTCTACCCGGTTACGGTCTTATAATACTCGTGGCAAATCCAATTTTTACCTACCGCGAGTTAGGCGCATTGATGGAAAACAGCGCCTTTTATATCAAGGACTGGGAGAATAAACAGTCTTGACAAGTCAATACGTGACATGAGGTCACTTTTAATTTTTAAGCAAGCCTTGAAGACCGCAATATTTTAACTCATTTTATAATGTAATTTTATTGAACATTTTAATATTGTATTTTTAACTATTTTTAACCTTTAAAATTTCACATTTTTCTTTTTTTTTGGCAGGGCCTCACTGAATAACACCTTTGATGATGTGAGCTCCCTGGATAAATAACATTATTATTATTATAGTAATAGTAATCTAGAAACATAATCAATGTATCATTCTGTGTTGAACAAGAGAGTATAGACACGCAAAGAGTGACCGCTTTTTTTCCACCACGCCAAAAATAATGATCAAAGCGTTGAAATGCAACGGGGACATTTAGACGAAGGCTAAATGGTGGAATGATCAATATCACTAACCTTTGAATTTTTGGGAAGCCTCAAATCTTTGTCTTTCTGAAGGAAATGGGTGGCCACAAGCAAAAGTTCAGTCTCCAGTTCCCTGTAGTAAAGTAACAAACCATTAAACGTCCACAAAAAAACAAACAAAAAACATATAAGCTTGTGTAAACTTTGCTTGTCGTTTGTCGCGTTATTTACACTCTTTTTTAAGAGGAAAAAAAATTTGGAACAAGCCGTGCGTCATCATTCGCTGGTGTTAAAGGAAAATGCACTTACTTGAAGGCTGCAAGCGCCGTATCATACAAGATGTAGTAGCCTCTTTGGTCCTGAATATGCACCCGACCTTCTTCAGTTGTAATGAAGTCATCATGATTTTCGACCTGGAAAAGGTTGAACACAGGCTTAAATTGTTTAAACGCTCGTGGCGCAAAAAGAAAGGCATTATGTCCTAGATTCCCAATCATTCCTTAAACGGCTATTCCTCTCCACTTCCCAGCTCTCTACTTTCAGTGACTTCTTAACATCAGACTGCTACATGTATGACCCGCCATCATTCATACGGTCTACTATTCGTTGGTTTTTTTTGTGTGTGTGTGTGTGTTTTTTGACATTCGTCTCCTTAACTCTTCATTCCCTAAAAGTGACTGGAATCTAAGTTCTCCTTACAGCATCATAGCTGAATCAACCATAAAGGTTATGAGAATACGGAAAATCATCAGAGAACCAAAGAAGTTAAATGCTGTGATTGTCAAACATATTCTCCTTGTCAGTACCATATGAAAAGTAAAGAAAACAGTGTGGATAAAAAGAACATTAATACTAGGGTGTTAAGGGTTAACACATTCGCTAGTCTGGCTTAAGCACAAAAACACTCACCTCTGAAAACTCCATGAATTCAGACTGTTCAACCCTTTAATGGAATAAAAAAGAAATAAAAGCTGCATCAGCAACAGAGCGTATTTGAAAGCAAAACCAGAGTATTCATGCAAGAAAATTGTAACAAAGTTAAATATAGCCAGGAGCAAATAAAAGTTGGACTAAAATAAATAAATTGCCTGATGCGGGGGAAATAAAGAAACGTTTCTTTCCTCCTATCAATTTCTATTTTTCAGAATCAGTGAAATCAAAGCATACTAGCCACAATGCGGTTAAAGTCTCAAAAGTTTTACCGATGCAGCTGTACCTTCTCACAATCTAATAAGACATGTTCCCTACCGAAACTCAACACTAAGATGTCATGAAGTCAAGTCAAGGAGTCATGTAAAGATGTCAGATAACATTCGTTCTGACGAAGTACTAACGCTCGAAACGTCGGCTTTGAAACTCATAACGGTGGCCAATTTACGTTATCAACTCAGTTGAGATACCAAATTACCTTGTTATACTCTCCCACCGACGCAGCGCCACAATTTCTCAAGAAACCTACCCCCTTTAACCCTTTAAACACTAACAGTGATTAGCATCTAATTTCTCCCTACAATATCACCCCTGAATCACACATTAAGGTCATGAGAATAAAGACATAATCACCAACGAGAGAAGCTTTTGATCGGTAAACAAATTCTCCTTACCAGCACATTAGGAAATGTATAAAGAACAGTATATGCTTACTGATGTTAAGGGTGTTAAGGGTTAATAAGATGTCATGTTCAGGATCTCAGGCTGCCTGAAAACATAAATGTAGCCGATGATATAACTACCTCTAAAATTTTACCTGTAATCAGCCGGAGTGTTGTGAATGTACTGATGTGATCCAACACCTGAAATTCCACCGCCATGGAACACTTGATGTCTGAAATGGTAATAAAATTTAACGTATAACCTATAAGGTTCCGCGCACGCAATTCTTTAGGAAACTAAAATTACAGCTGACGTGTGTGAACGAAGGGCCGGCTGGGAAAACATTTGGCCTTTCGGTCATCGCGGAGCTCGTTCAATACTTCATCACCGCGAGCCAAATATTTTCCCTCATACCCTTCCCCTAAGGCAATAAATGCATCGTCATTAAGCACGTGATTTTCAACGTAAAGAAGTACATGTAGGTGAAGACGTCGAAGATGGATTCTTTACTCATTTATACTCAACGACGAGAGAAAAAAGGACAGTAACAATGAAGCTAAGTTGTGACTTGTCAATAATTTTTTTCTTTGCAGCCTCACATTCCTGGATGCTCTCAAAATCCCCTGGCTTCCCCCCCCCCCCCCACCCATCAGTTGGGGTCTTTATCCAATTTACGTCGATTTGACGCCTTAATTCCCTTATTTGATAAGCTTCGTCCCCGAAAGCCTCATTGGGGAAGCGGTCGATCAAATTATGGTTGTGATGAACATACTGTAGAAAGGAGAGTTTTCAACATGACAGTGCTTTTCCTGATATTCATGCACAGAAGTTTAACACATTACTCCCGTTTCATAGAACGGATGACTCACTTGGACGCCTTTTGTTTTCCTCCTTCCAGTGACAAGCCACCATCATTAATCGTTAACGTTCTCTCAGTTGACTTGAAGTAGTTGAGTATGCCAAGGCACTGAAAAATTACAATTCAAAAGAAGCCTTGCATATTGTGGAAAAAATATTTACCTTTTCTTAGTTGTTACACACAGGTTACTGTCATTTAAATCATGTTCTCCACGGTTGAATATATTACAACCTTTCCTATGGCTAACTAATTTGGGCACGCATGGTGACAAAGATCCCCGCTCCATTCCCCGAAAATAGTGAATAGGGCCATTTCCTACCGATAGTTAAAGATCCCTTCCTTTGAGGTATCTTAGAAGGAAAAGGGGCTTGCAGGCCCCTTGTGGATAAATCCCTTGGGCACGGTCATCGGAAAAGATCCCCCTCCCTTATCAATACTGAAATGGGGACCATTCATCACCCCTCAATTGGGATCCCTACGCCTAAGGTGCCTTAGAAGGACGTAGGCAATGTGGGCCCTTCGCGGTTTATTCATTTGGACACGCTTATTAAAAAAATATACTCTCGGCATTTATGAAATATGGACCATTTCTCACCGATCTCTGCAGATCCCTTAGCCTAAGGTGCCTCAGAAGGAGAAAGGACATGTAAGCGCCTTGAAGTTTACTGGCCTGAGTCTTAGCATCTTCGTCATCCAAGCCGAGAAGTTCCACCGCAGTACCAAGATCAAATTCACCAGTGGAGTTACTATTACCACCCATGTCGTCTTCACTGATTTTGGTGTCAAACTCTAGAACATCATCCTTGGAGCTCAAACTGTTCAGCAAATGAAAGAAGATGACAAGAGAAAAGCTATGAGTCCCACATAAAGATGAGAAAATTGACATTTTCAGGTTGATTTGTTTTGACGCAAAACTTGCTAAATCTTGTCTAAGTGATGCTCTAGAGTATTCCGCGAGGTTTCCGGCTAAGCGCTAACTTTAAATCACTGGTAGTTTACAATTGGATATGTTTAGGTGCCTGGACGAATAATGTTTTCTCGTACAATACTTCTGCAATTTCAATAGATTCAAGTTAAGAGCTTAATCGCCAAAATTTAGCATATGTAAGCCTTTCATTCCCCGGAACACTCTCCTTTTTTTGCTTATGTGTATTGCCTAACCTACCTTAGCCGGTTGCTCGCAAACCGCAATTGGATGTATGCACTTGTTATTTCTAACAACAACAAAATCTTTTACCGGTGTTTGGCAGATCTGCTGATAACCCAATACTGTAAACACATTGGTGACCTGCGCCTTTTTTTTGGGAAATCTTTATGAAATTGTACAAAAATTTCCTCTTTGAAGGGTATAAAAAGTGCACACCCCGAAGCGTTGCTGACCAAACACCGATTCACGGGCGCCCGTAAGAAGACATATCTCACACAGTAAGAAGAGTCACTCAACTATCACGCTTAATGCAAGGGTCAAACACCTTAAAGGTTACGATATCAAAGATTTACCTCACAGAAGCATAGCTGAAGATACGTTTCCAAACTGCAGCCGTGTCATTCTCAGCGCGGTAAGTCGTCACAGAAACTGCATGAGGTTTTGGCGGCTCCAAGACAGCTTTAGCATGTTCTTTTAATGATGATAGTATTCTCTAAAGAAGCGATATAATCAAAATCAACAATTTTTTTTCTAACGATGTTAATAAAGAACTCAGCACTAAGTTACAAGTGGGGTCCTATGTCTGTAAATCAGCATAACGCACCCAAAAAGTTTAAAAGAGGCCAGCAGCTTTCCCACAAACATGGCCAGGAAACTTTCCAGATACTCTCTTTTCTTTAAGGAAGTTATCAGTAAGTCAGTCTTTGCTTTAAGTAAAGTTCTTATGCCAACATTAATAAAGAACTATTCGTCATTTACCAATTATGTGCACTGTACATCAGTCGCTCACAGTGGTTAAATATGAAATATGGTTATGTTATGGCGGTATTTGGTGTCATCACAGAAGTATGGTATTCATTTGAATTGCAACCATTCAACTTATGAGTAACTTTCTACATGTACTTGCATCGGCACAATGAGGTATATGATATATAGAGGGCAAATCTACCAGCAAAGTCAGGGATGAGAAATAAAACCACTGTCTTGTGAAAGCAGACGTCAATGTATTTCATTTCAAGTTATTTTTTTGCACATTTCACCTCACCTGGCCATCTTGTACATGAAGGAAACGTGAATGAGCTTTAAGTAACTAAAAGGATAGGAGAGAAAATATTATTACGTCAGTATCATTAGTTATTATCAGTATTGATTTAAGTCTAAAAAAAAATACACCACACAGTGTGTAAAACTGGAAAGGTTGCGTCATATTACCTCATCGATGTTGCCTTTATGTTTCAGCTTTGTCATGGCCTTAACTTGAATTGAGGCCTGCTCTGGCCTACAGGAGGGCAAAGTAACACAAAAGTATCCAAATAAGCCATTTATATATATTGGTAGAGCAAATACAAAGTAACTGTTTTTCACGGTGACAACGACAAGAAAATCTCGGCAATTCCAATTCGCTCATTGAATCTGCAGAATCTTGTCAGCTTTCTCAATACTAGTATCACTATGAGGCCGGAACAAAGGTTTATTAAAAGATTTTCCTTGCACTTGTAGAATAGTGCGACAAATAAGTAACCTTCGTGAACTCGATTTCAAATAACTAGATCTTGGAGTCATTTCCTAAAAGTCCCGGAAAAAAGTATTTCCAATTATTCATCATCAGCCACAGGTACATGATCATCAGCCACAGGTACATGTAAGGCACACTCCCGTTACCTCGTTCCCGTAGTTTCGACCTTTACGTTCACAAAAAGACCCCTAAAAGTTCCAAAACTACACTTCGTAGAAAAATAAAAAAACCAATTGTTCGAGGCCAATGAAGAAATTTTTACCTTGGTGCAAATTTTTACCGTTTGCCATTCTCTTAGCTGCTCTCGCTTCTCACCGCCCGGGGTTTAGAGAAAAACCGGTTTCCGGCGGTCTACCGCTGCCTATAAAACCTCTTTCCGCCGTCTGTTTGGTCTACGGACACGCTCTCGTGTTTCATTTACGCGGTACGGACCCCTTCCGGGCACAGCTGCCTATTACGCCATCCGCAGTCACTTATAGAAAACGTTATTAAAACCCCTGAAGTACCAGTTGCTTTTGCGCAAGTCATTACAAAAGCTGAGATGCAGTACCTTAGAGAATTAAAAGAGGTCCAGTTCGACTGCTGTTTGAAAGTGTGCAACGCTCCTTCGCCTCTTATTTTACTATCTCCAAACTCCTGTAAAACAAAAGCAATTAATTTATCAAAGAGGAACAACTTCTGGACGAATACTTTCCACTGCATCAGCTTGAAAGGGTATATTTCTCTCTGCGTTACTTCTTTTTAAAAAAAAAATGCTTCTTTGTAACATTCAGTCAGGTCGATGTATTGAATTCAACAAGACAGTGTACATAAAGTCACTGCCGTATCACATCAAACTCCCCAATTCGGTACGATTTCGATTCACATTGCCTAACTGGCGAGAATTTGAGAATGTATCTCACCCATGACAAAAATCATCAAAATCCTTCGCCTAGAATGTTACTTCCTTTTCTAATTCAGCAACAAATGTTTATCTTTACAGGACCCTCTACGCGTGTTGTACAACCAACGCCTTTGCAGCTTCCTACCACACGCACAAGTGCATACATTTGACTAACCTCGATTGAAGCGTCGTAAACGGGGAAAGTTCTCATTTGTTCTTGTTTTGAAAAAACTTTTTTGAATCTCCTTGAGACCATAGTAAAGAGATCCATTTCATCCGCATGAGTGTTGATTTGATTGATGTCCTGCAAACAAAGAGTTAAACTCATGTAAATGACGACGAAAATTGTTTATCCCTCTCACTCCATAGATCCCAGAGCAATTCTCCTCACTGTCCGTCATGCAATTCTTAAGACGTTACTTAAGAAAATTTATTACTGAATCAACTAACAATTGATATTTTTCTTTATTCTCATCACTAGTATGCTTGATATTGTATTGATACTGCATGGAGAAAGTATGTCTCGGTCACTCATAGAATAAAAGGCAGCCTCATTAGGCTTAGCGAGTTCGATGGAAATACACCATTGTCATTTTGTTCTGTTTCCCATTTTATGGCTATTGTGGTTGCAACTGTAATTGGTAGGTAAATTTACGCGCAATAAAACAACTAATATCCGCACAGGGCCAAGTGTTTTATATCCTTACCATCTCAACAGCGTAACAAGTCATAAAGAACTCCAACAGAGGTTTTATGGTAGCAAAAGTTGTCTCGTGTAGTGGCAACTTCAGGTTTATCTCGTCAGACGCCAACCCTCCGCCCGAAGCAGCTGCTGCAGCCGCAATGGAGGGATTCGTTCCTGATACCAGCTGATATGGAGTCAGACTAAGAGGTGGAGGTGGTGGAAGACTAGCATCAGGGGTGGGTTGGGGCCTTAGGACATGGAGATGGGCCGTGATCGACACTTGACTGAGAATCTTCTTGAGTTGGCCTCGTGCTTTAGAGGGCGGACCCATAGAGGCCTTACGTTCCTGTTCAGGAGGTTTCTCTTCTTTTTCAGCGACTTGAGGTAAAATAGTGTTCTTGTGTGTCAGGGGAAGCCACTCGACCGTCTGAGGAAAAAAATGTTTTTTTGATTGTATTCTATTGAAATTGCCTAACTTTCTCAATGTCAACCACCAGGTTTCTCGCAAAATGCCGTACATTTCTTGAGATGTCCCGTTTTTCATAAGATATGTCTCGTTTCTCGCAAGAGGTCTCGTCTCCCGTTTTCCTCGAATGTCTCTTTTTTTCGTTTCCGACGAAATGCATGTCGTTTGTTACGCGGTGAATCTTGTTTCTCACATCTCGCTGGATATGTCTTTTCTTTTGCGAGGTGTGTCTCGTCTCTCAAAGGACGTGTCACCTTTCCAGCGACGTACTTCTCGTTCTTTGCAAGTATTAGGTATGTTCTGTAGAAGATGCTTTTTACATTTCACGATGAACGTCGCATTTTCAACAAGACGAGTTTTGTTCCTCAATAAATGTGTCTTCCAGTAACGAGATACTTCTTAATTATACGAGATCTGTGCACCTCGTTCGTAAAGGTTTTTTCTCACGAAATGACCAACACTTCACTCAAAACGTTTTTTTTCTCGTTTTCCACCATAAGTCTCGTTCTTCTTCACCACATTACGAACATAACAGCTCTAATTTTACACACTACGCAAGATAAACCAATAAAAACTCCAAGGCAATCAATCAAAACAGACACTTTTATGCTTTCCTTTAGGACTTCACTAATTCTAAACATTGGGTTTAAGAGCAGTTTACAACTGAGCGTTGAAACACCAAACCAAAGTAATTCCGGCGTCCAATCAGAAGAAAGGTTTACATCATCGTTAGCCAATGAGAACTCAAAGTGAAAACAAGTTCATTGCTTGAAGCGCGGGAAAACGCCCATGACCAGGTCACGATTGATTTTAGTTTGTATCTGATTGGTTGGGAGGATAGCGCGAGTTTTTCTGGACCAATCACAGCAAAAAGTATTTAGCAAAACCAAAACAATCTCGGATTATTTCTAACACAGTTGAAAATTGCTCTACACTCGCAAAAACACACTCACCCTGATGAATGCATGAATATTCTTCACTGAATGCAACATACAGATGAACCATCGGCTGTAAATCAGTAGATCATCCATAGTAACTAGACTCATCGCCGAATCGCCTCCCGCTAGAGTTACTTCACATGCCACGGCCAGCCTTCTTGCGCGCTGGAGACAATCTTGATATTCTTCCATGATATAACTAATAATATCAAAGGAGGTAAAGAAGGGTTAGTCATGTGCAACTGCGCTTATTCAGAGAGAGTCCTACCACAATTATGACATGTATCTTTACCGTGAAATATCTTCAATTATAAGATACAGTATGATGGATATCGCCAAATAAAGTTCAAATTCAGTCGGATATAATAATAATAATAATACTAAAAATAATAATAATAATAATAATAATAATTTATTTCTATAGCGCATTTTCCTAATGCCCAAATGCGCTTTACAGTGTCAAATTATCATAACCTATAATTAAATAAAAATTTGAAGTCTAAAAATATGCTTGTCAAAAAAGATAGGTCTTAAGCTTAGCTTTAAAAATAGAGACAGATGCGCTGCTTTTAATCTCAAATGGAACCAAATAGTTCTAGAGGTAAGGTGCGCACACTGAGAAAGCCCTCAGGCCAGTCAATTTGAGCTTGTGTGTTGGTTGCTCCAGTAGAAGTTGGTCAGCAGACCTGAGAGCTCGACTAGGAACATAATATGTGACGTCAGTATACATTATTTATCCACACTATTCTCTACACATTCCTGTGGCGTTGCCAGTAGGACTTTGGTTAACAATAAAAAGAGTATAAGTCGATGATCATTTCCTTAATTCTCCTGATCTCAATCTTTGGTTACAATGATAATGTCAGGAGAAATTAGATGCTGGTCACTCTTAAAAGTTTAAGGGTAAAAGAAGAAGTATACTCTAATTTTTATCTCAGCTACAGAAAAGTATATAAAACAAATAACTCCATGTACAATTTGAGACTCCAAATAATCCTATACTAACCAAAATTTTCTTTCAAACATGTTAGAAATTCAATGGTGGATAACCCATTTTAAAACCACATAATACAAAACTGCAATTCACCCTTTCATTCCTGTGATTGACCAGCTTCTAATTTCCCCAAACAATATCTGCACCAACTCCAACGTTACAGTCATGAGAATAAAGAAGATGAACACCAACTTAAGAAGCCCTTGAGTGTGTAACAGATCCTCCTCGTCAGTATCATAGGAAATGTATAGAGAGCAGTATGGATAATATGCATACTGATGTAATGGATGTAAAGAGTTCTTAATTGTCAGCGAGTAATAAGTGGGTTTGGCATTCTAACCTGAGCCTTTTCTGGTACACAGGAAACAGATTTTCTATGGCCTTTGTGTGCTCACAGAAACGGGCCCAGCGCAGCATGTGCATGTGTTTACACTGAACCAAGTGTTCTATTCTGTCCACGAAAAACTGTGAAAAAGAAAAACCAAAAATTCAGTGGCATAGTTCTTAAAATGTGGAGGTGCGGTGGCTTCATGGTTAGTGCGCTCGACTCTGGATCAGGTGGTCTGGGTTTGAGCCCTGGCCAGGGTCATTGTCTTGTGTTCTTAGGCAAGACACTTTACTCTCACAGTGCTTCTCTTCACCCAGGTGTATAGAAGGGTACCAGGAAATGTGCTGGCGGTAACCCTGTGATGGACTAGCATCCCATCCAGGGGGGAGTGGCAATACTCCTAGCTGCTTCATGCTAAGAAAACTGGAGTTAAGCACTGGCCCCATGGGCCACTTGGGCCTGTATAAAGGCTTTACTAGTTCTTAAAATAGTATCAAATCAATTATGTTTAAATCACATGAAGTGATCAGTCATTCTGAGAACCACAAAGAAGTGTAATTAAGACTCTTTTCTTTTAGCTGACCTGATGAAGCAAAAGTGGAATACTCTTTGCAGTATATTCTACTTGACAACAGCTGGTCATCTCCTCTTGCATCACATCTGATTGTATAATCAAAGGCTGAGCTTCGCGAACCTGTAGAGCAAAATCCACCAGGAAAGATTTAGTGTAGCTTGAACGTGTTGTTCTCTATAGCAGAACAGTTGAATAATCAGGAATAAGTCATCAAATAAACTGATTTACTGTCAAGCTTGAAATGTTACAAAACCAAGATGGCTGCTTTAGGAAAAAAAGTTCACTGACACCCATGGTTCCCACAGGCAAATCCACAGAAGGGCAGGAAAACAAGTTATATGCCAATGGATAAACATCACTAAAATATACATTCCTTAAATCCTTCTTTAACACATGTATGTGGTGATTGACAGTATGCATTGGTAAGTGAAGATTAACACAGCTATCTGTCAATTAGAACACTGACGTAATATTTAAGCTCGTAATTTTTTCATGTACATTATAACCAAAATTACAGTGGCGTACTAAAAGTCGTACAAACAACAACAAACATACATAAATACAGTACCTGAAGACTTTTGTTAATGGCAAGCTTCCTTTCTCTTTTAAAGTGATCGACATCCTTAGGCAACGGAACAGATCTTTTAGAGAATAAAAAATTGAAGAAGGAAACACTTTGATCACTGTCAAGAGCAAATGTTAATCACACACTCTCAAGTGAGAACAGAACAAAGCTGTCAGCAGCAATTTAATAATTTATCCACATTGTCTATGAATTATTCATAGTATTCAGATCTTTGGTAATAAGAGTGTATAGTCAACTTTGATCAGTTGATACCGTGACATCGTCAGCATGGCAATCGAAACTGTCACCTTTTTTTGTATCGTCGATTACAAAAAACCAACCAGAATCAGTAAAATACGACAGTAATTTTTAATCATTTTCATTCAAACTTCGCGATTTGATCTTGAGCATAAACTGATGTCGAATGGAAAAATACAAACACAGATAGATGACAAACAGACAAGATAACGATTTTTTCACCACAAAGGTTTAAAAAGACTGAACTGATAACAAGCGGCTCACCCGAATGCCTTTGGCGCTGCAGACGAGCTCAGGAAATTTCCCTCTTCGACTTCATTTTGTAATTCCTTCAGCTCTTTCTTTAGATCTTCTTCCAGAGATTTGACTTTTTCAGAAGACGATACTTCATAAATTCCTTCCATATTCTTGTGATCTACGCAAAAGTTGCGATCGCGATCATAAATTCTAGAAGTCAATTAGAACACCATTCCGATCTAGGACTGTTAGTACTTTTGTTTTGGGCGCCATATTTCACCTGGTAACCAAGTCCACCAACGAAAGCCTCGTTTTCAAAGTTCATAATCCACCGGATGTGAAGTTGCAGGCAGCTTCCGGAAGCTACAGTTTATTCAGTTCCAGACTACCAGAAATCCACGCCGACCAGCTTCAGATGAAACAAGATGGCGCATTTTACTGAAACGTAAACTAGGAAAATAAGAGGTACGTTTCAACAAAAAAGGTTAAATTTGCTGTCAATTGAATATCAATTTTTACCAAAATATCCTTACATTGCATTTATCAATCTTCCCCGGTGAAAAGATTTCTACTAGAGAAGCAGAGGTGAAACCATGCTCGTTTAAGCGAGCGAATTCGCAACGTGGTTATTGGGGTCGCTGGTTCGAGACCTGCTGGGGCTGAACATGACGGCGCAATTCTTTGTTTTAAATTCTCTTTTTTATTTTATTTCCAGTTAAATCGATATGTTTCAGAAAGCCAGGGTTACATTTGTTTAAAATTTTAATCAACAGGAGTCTGCAATGTATGAAAATAATGTGCTGAATCGTGTCGTGTCAGTTTGCCTTGTTAAACTTAAATAGGATGTTACTCAGACTATCATTGTTATTTACAGAAATTTAAAATTAAGTGTTGGAAGTACATGCAATTGCTTGAGCTTTGCTTTACTTTGTTCTGTGATTGGTTCAGAAAATGTATGTAACCTTCTTAATTAATCAGATTCGATACTTAAACTAATCACAACTTGGTTAGATATGCTCCAGGTGGTTTGCTTGGTTTACTTTGAGCTCTAAATGACTCCAAGTTTAATAATTAAAAAGCATTTGTAATTCAGCTCATTAATTCATAATTTGCCACATCTTTTATAGATTGAGTAATTACTGCGATGTCACTCCTAAAAGACACAGATGACTTACCTATCAAACTAAACTTGGATGAACTAAAAGAGGAACTGTCAAAAAATGGGCTGGTACTATGTCCTGTTAAAGGCTGTGATCAAGACTTCAAGTCTCTCTGGGGCCTCAAATACCATGTTAGACGAGCCAACCACCAAGAGGTCTCATCAGAGAGGAAGTTTAAGTGTGAGCAGTGTAATCAAACGTTTCAGTCTCGAATTGCTTTACGTGAACACAGAACATTAGATCATTCAGGGAGTGAGAGTAGAAGTCCACTAGCAAGTCCAGGGTGAGCTATGTTATGTTAAATTAGTTAAGGTGATAAAACCACAGGGCGTGCATACTATGTTATAGCCTTCAGAGCAGGCCTAATTAACTGAAAATTATGGCTGCCAATTCTTTGATGTTAATGGCAGTGGAAGGCTGGGAAGAGAAAGAAATTTGTACTAAGGGGGTGAGTGACAGTTAAAAATAAGGAGAGGGGTGGGGGTGATCAAGGAAATATTATGCTGTCTTTTGGCCACTCCACACCCCCTCCCCCACTGTCCACTCTAGCTCCAAATCAAACATGGCAGGTTGAATAAATGATTGTGCACTTAACTGGTCCTAAGAAGATGCCTGATATTTGAATATCTGAAATAAAATGTCACTAAATGTCACTTTATTTGACTATCAAGCTAAGCTCCAAACTTCATCACCCTTCCTCCTGTATCTTGAAATTATTTCCAGTTATTTGAGAGTTTGTCGCAGCAATTGTGATACATTACCACATTAAAAATAAGCTGTGGGATTTAGCTTTTCGAATAAATATTTTCCGCTAGAAACCCACAATGATAGAAATTTCCTAGACAATTGGACCAGGCATAAATTGTCTACTATTAACAAGGATCAATTTTTACTTTATAGAATTTTCAATGAAATGGAGGGAAATGCTACTTCATCAAAAGGAACCATAAAGAGGAAACGTGGTAGACCAAAGAAAAATACAGATACATCAGCCAAGAACAATAACAGTGTAACTTTTGATTCGACGGAGATGAACAAGGATGCCAGTGAAACATTATCTCCATCAGTTGAATTACCCAAGAAAGGAGAAAATTCTGATGGCACTGGAAGAAGAACTTCTACAAGAGTACGGACTCCTCGAAAAAACACTTTTGTTTATGAGGAGGAAGATACAACTAAAAATAAAAGGGGGAACAAACGAAGGAAAGAGGACAGTGAAGCTGGTGTTTCAGATAATACCCCTAAAAAGAGAGGAAGAAAACCAAAAAGTTCATTAGTGGAAAGTCGTAATGTTATTGAGGGACCTTGTAAAAAACATGGAAGGAAGCGCAAAGGTGACACTGCCAGTTATGAATCTGATGTTGGCCATGAAAAAGTGAGAGGAATTGGTAATGATAAAGTGGACAGAGGTACCAATATTGTTGGTGATGGAGAGGATAATGTTCATGAAGGTGATGTTGCCAATGAAGTTGACATTGTAATTGAGGATGGTGACGGTATTGATGATGACAATGTTGATAATGAGAATGATGATGGTGATGATGATGACAGTGCTGGCCAGGAAAGTGATGATGATGATGATGCTGAGGATAGAGATAATGATGATGATGATGATTTTGAAAATGATGAAGAAAGTACTAAGACAAAAGCTAAAGACACCAAAAAAGCAGGTATAGTGAATTTATGAGGATAATGATGATAAGAGATAAACTTTGTTCATTTGTCTCATGATAGAATCTTTTTTGATGTTGATCGCAACATTTCAACTACTATACTGCTAGTCTTCATCAGGGGATGAGGTCAATTATTTATGTGTTGCTATTTGTAGCACGTTGGTACACTGCTATTGGCGCATTTCAATCCTTATTATTATTTCAGTTGCTAGATGGTGTTCCCTCATAGGTCTTTATAGATCGGCTGTTGTGTTGTTTGATCATGTTGTGTTGTTTGATTGTGATCAGTTTTGGAAAGTAAAGCTGGTATCAGTGGTCACACTGTAAAAGTCCTTCTTAAATGTCTAGGTACTGTTCTTATTCATGATAGTCACTTTCTTTCTTATCATCATTTAATGGAAAAGAAGCTGCCAAGCCAGCAAAGAAGGGCAGATTATCAAAGGTTTGTTAAACATTGAGGTTTAAAAATTAGTTGTAGTGTACTAAGTGTATCAGTCAGGTGGAATCCTTTTGAGAAAAGTTGCTGCATTATGATGAATTTATTTAGGAACAGTAAGTCATGTTTACAAGAGAGCAGTGTGATATTAACCTTCAATTTCCCAACTATGGTTTCAATTAATTTTTTTACATAGAATTGCATCATTATACTGCTCCAAAACCTTTTTGTTTAAAACAACTTACTAAATGTGCTTTTGTTTTTTGTTATTCTGAGAAACTACTAAGTACAAGAACTAGTTCTTTCATTTTGTGTTACACAAACTTCCCTCATTTAAACCTGAAAGATTCTGCTGGCTGAATTGTACATGCCACTCAAAACCGCCTTACGCAAGAGCATTTTTGGGACTGAAAGGGTTGAACAGCATCATAAAGGGTATCACATATATTTTCATGCTGTTATCAAGATCATTGTTAAATGATGATCATACATTGATACCTTTTGCTTTTAATTTTTTTCCAACAGAAGGAAGTGGCTGAGGTAATGTTTCCTATAATTAGAAACACATCATGATGCAGAATAATGTGAATAGATGCCAGTTGTTTACAAGGCAATAAATAATGGTCCTATAATAATTAATCTAGGAAAGCAAACTATTGATGTATGTAATTTTGAATGAAATCCTACCTACTGCATATTGCTCCTTAGAGATACATGATTTTATTAACTTCACAATTTTCAACTTGCAAATAAGAAGTACTATAATAAATGTAAATGTTTAACCCTTTAATTCCTCTGAGTGACCAAGACAGAATTTCTCCTTACAACATCAATACAATATCAAACAGACAAATGATGAGAATAAAGAAAATTATTAATGATGGGATTACTTATTGATCCGATACCAAATTCTCCAAACTAACATAATGAGAATCATTTGGGAGACAGTAAGGAGAACTAGTAAGGAGATCTTGGGAGTTAAAGGCTTAATTGGAGGGCTCAGAGCAAGAACGATCCCTTGTTTTTTAGCCATTTTTGAAAGTGTTCAGAAGTAGTTGAATTTTGGCATGTGGACACTTTCAAAAATGGCCGAAAAATCAAGGGATCGTTCTTGCTCTGAGCCCTCCAATTCTCTATGATCTTCATCATGGGGGTGTTTAATTTCAGTGACTGAACAGTTTTCACTGGAAATGACCTTCATTTTATTTGTTTTTGTTGTTGATGTAAGTTGTTTTTTTTTTCTTCATAGACGAGTTTGTTTGATATTCAATGAAACTCCTAGTTAAATGAAACACACTCATATGATTAAGTTAAATTGCATGGAAAACTTAAACATCAAATTTTGTAACATTTCACCATCACCCATGCCTTTACTAACTTTAGTATGAACAGCCTAGAATATTTACATCTTTCATTTCAGTCTACAAGACTGAAAAGACTTGTGAAGTCAGGACAGTCCTTAGCGTGCCCAAACCAGGGGTGTAGAGCAAAGTTCACGACTGCCCTTGGATACCAAAGCCACGTGAAAATATGTGGGATAAAAGAGGAGGAGAGAGAGAAGTTTCCTTGTGAGATTTGTGGAAAACAATACATGTCCTATCCAGGACTTACATATCATATGAAGGCTAAACACACTGAGGTAACTTTTTGTACTGTGCCAATTTAATTAATGCAAGATACTTGATGCAGATGATGTTATTTTGTGTATGCTGTCTTCATGTATCTTTATCTCCTGTAATTGATGTATTTTTTCTTCTACCTAGAGTGAACCCATCAACAGTGATCATTCTGAGGTTAAGGATGAGGTACAGCAAGATTAAATTGTTTTTTCTTATTTCCAGTTACTATGGAAACATTTTTTTTTTTTACACTTCCAACTTAGAGCCCTGTACCATCGATATCCAAACTTTTTATTTCTACCTAGATGCCCTTTAGGATTCTTTTGTACTAACTTTCAAAATGTTAGATTTTTGAGCACTTCTATTTTTAAAACTTATGGCCACATTGCTCAAAGGATGTGTGCTGTTTGGGGTCCGATGACCAACAAAACAATAGGATTGACTCTAAACACAACTCTAATCAAAGCATGCTTCTTATAACAACATGGCCAGTTCATTCTCATGTCCTGTAGTCCTTTTCGCTTATATAATGTAGGTCCTTATGGGATACATAGAACACTACAGGATGGATAACACTTTTGACTGGATAAATTTCTATCTGGTAGATAGTGCATTATTCACTGGATAATAATTTATCCACTGGATGGCTTGATCCACTCTTTGATCATCTGACCTTGATGTTCATCCTTGTACTCTGATATTAAAGTGTTCTGGAACTCAGACACTTTTTGTAAAGCTCAACAAAATGTCAGTTGAAGCCTGAGATAGGACTTTTGATGTTGATTAGCCTTTTGCTTTCTTAGGAAGAGGAGCCTGAAATTCTACCAAGTGGAAGAAGAAGAAGAAAGGCAGCTTCAAGGTAAAGTGGAACACTGCAGGAATGCAACACAGTATTCTTGTTGGTGTCTTAATCTTGAATCCCACACTTTGCTGCCTGCTCTCTCACTTACTTTTCATGAGGCTACAATTTAGGTCTGGTTTAAATCAAGTCAGTGCTGCGCTTTAACCCAGGGAGGTTTTCAGGGGCATTGCTACATGTTTTTGCTTGAATTTCCTGCTGCTTTTCTTTCTATTTTCTGTCCTCTCCCCTTCCACTTTTGGGTGAAAATTTATTCCACATACCGATTTGTAGGTGTTGTGTGACAGGTGTCTTGAAGTGGCCTGCTGTGCAGTTGCCATGGTGACTTCCTTGTTCCTGAAGAGTATTGCTGCCCTCCCCTCCTTTGTGGTTACCTTTACCACGCCCACCCTCCACTGTTATTGAAGAAGTGTTAACATGTGTTTGAGTGAAACAATTTCCAACAAATTGACAACCTACTTTCAAGCTCTCGTTAGTGCTTGGGCCATAAGCAGAAAAGCAATGAGAGACAAGTTGTCAAGTGACCATCTTTTCTCTTGTGATTTTGGCCCCCATGCCCACCAATACTCAGAGGACCTGCTCCTGGGCTAATGCATTTAAGGGGAAAGAACCTGAATTTTAAGTGTACATGGCGCCTTAACTACTTACACGGGAATTAAGGACAGTTTTTTGGGTCATGCAGCTGTAGTTATGCTACCAGAAAGCAAAATCCTAGGCCGATGGACCATAGATGCAAGCCTCACCTTCTAGAATTCAGCCAATGTAATCTGTTTCATCATTTTATTATTATTATTATTATTATTATTATTATTATTATTATATCGCTAAAGGGCTATATCAAAGGTGCAGCAAATAACAACAGACCAAGAACTTGAAGAAATCAATCTGGCCAAAAAGACAGAAAAGAGAGCCCTTGGCCAGCTGATATCCAAAATTAAAGGACGAGTTGTTTCAAAGGAGCAAGAGGACAAATGGAATGAGATGCTCAAGACAGAGTCAGATATAGTTTGTCCTGGCGTGGTGAGTTTTTATACTGCATGACAGTCCAGTGTTGTGTGTCATGTTTTGTGGGTAAGACACAGGAGCAGAGAGTATCAGACATAAAAAATTATGCACTCTTTCGGGTGTTGCACTGGAGTTTCAGTAATTAGGCTGGTTGCTAGTCTACCGCCACCTGTGAAACCTCTTACTGCTGTCTGTTTATCCTGAATGTGAAGGCTGTCGTGTTTGGGTTGTGCCAGCATTGCAGCCTTTTTTTTCGGGTACAGCCGCTTATGGAAAAAGTTATTCAAACTCCTGGTTTTACACATATTTTGTTTTCATTCTCGACTTTCTTCAGGGGTGTTCAGAAACATTTAAGGCAGTGTCAAGCCTCAAAGAGCATCTGCAATCATGTGCAAAAACAATCTCTTACAAGTGTCTGGCATGTGGCAAGAAGTATCTATCCTTACTAATCATCCAGAAGCACATCAAGCATCTTCATGTTGGATATATGGTAAATATTATTTTTTAATCAAAGAACAGTGTCATTAATTAAGGCAAAATGATGGCTGTTCTTGATAACATCCATCGCTACCGGGGTTTCATTAACAGGCGGCAACCAGTGGTTTACCCCCACCTCTAAGACATCTTACCGCTGTTCGTGTAGCCTACTTCATTTCGACGTGATCAGTTACCTCATCGCGTGTCCATTTGTGCTGTAATGGATTAACCCTTCATAACCTAATATCAATATGCATATTCTCCATACTGTTCTCTATATATTTCCCAAGGTGCTATTAGGGACAATTTCTTTAACAATCAACAGTTTTTTTAATTGGTGATAATTTCCTTTATTCTCGTGACCTTTAAGTGTGATTTTGCGAAGATATTGTAAGGAGAAATTAGATGCTGATCACTGTGAGGGGTCAAAGGGTCAGAGAGGCTATCAGAATAGACAGCTCTTACATGTGATTTACTTTTTGTAAATTAACAGCCAAAGGGAATGGAGAAGTCCGACAGCAGTGATGTGGATTTTCAAGCTGCCAGTTCAGGAGAGAGTGAAGATGACAGTGACGATGTAGAAATTGAAGAGATCGACGATAGTGGTAGCGAACTAAATGACCACCAGGAGGATGCCGAAGAAATTGTTGTCTGGGATGACACGAGAGCAAAGTTCAAGAAACCAAGAAAAAAGAGACAACCGCCTAACAGAACGTCTGGTGAAGATGTGAGATTTGGACCTATTGGGGCAAAGGACTCGGAGAGTTACACAACAACAGAAAGCTGGTAAAACAGTAAAGTCTTGGTGGTAATGAAAAGCATATGCGCAAGGCAGAACCTTTGAAATTTTGGTGCGCTTAAAAGATGAAACTCCCGAGTTGATATCGATTACTTTTCTATGGCTTTTGCGGCCCCTGCATTCCTTTATTGCCCATCAATTGCACAAAAAATTCCCGTACGACGACCCTCACTTTTGAAACGAGAATGATAAGTGCAAAACCTCTGACCAATTAACTCCATAGCAAACGGTTTAAACCTACCATTGTCAAAACAGAGATTGTGTGCAACTCGGAAATAGCATTTTGTGGTTGCCTTTTTTTGTTTGTTAAAGAACTCATTTTGTACCTCAGGGTCTCTTAATTTGATTGTGTGTTACTACTGTTGTAATCTTTAGGCGCAAGCAAGAGTATACACATAAGGAGCTGTTTCCAAACTTGAGACCCTCCTCCTCATACTGGTGTAAAGTTGAGCTCAGGTAAATCATTGTCAAGGTTTAATTAGTCCGTATAGTGTGTGTATCTCAGTCCAGATAAGGCCTAATAAAAGTTCTGCCAATGATCATTGTAAAAAAAGTTTACCCTTAAATAGGATATGTTTGAGATTCTAAACCCCTCTCTAAAAATGTGTTTCTGGCTGTGATCACATGACTGTAAAAGGTCCTTTGGATTTTGTATGTTCTGGAAACCTGCTACACCATTAGGCACTTGGCAAATACAACGTCTTAGTATAAAGATACACTTGATAGTGATTATCCTTCTTCTAAAATATTCTGCAACTTCAAATACTTTCTTAATTCACCTAATCACAACTAATTTTTCCCAAGATACACGAACCACAGTTTTTAGATTTTGTGTATAAATACTTATATTTATACTTAGATATTTCAGATAAAGAGCCATCTAATGGAAAAGCTAAAATAAAGTCATTTTTGCTATTATCATTATTATTTTAGTATATATTGTATCATATTTTGATGAGAAACGCATGAAGACCAATTATCCGAGTTATTCCCCATTTTAGATGTGTTTATTTAAATTGATTTTTCTCCTTTTTTAATAGTGAAGTCGACCAGTATTTACCTGAAGCAACAACCTCACCACCGTTTCAAATAAGAAGAAAAGGAGAGAGTCAGTGCTTGGAGGAGAGCACAGAACTTCCATTGTTTGAGAGCACATCTAAAGATCATAGTAAGATAATCAACGGAGCCTCTATCAATTAAATTTTGAAGATAATGTGTATTGGGGCACTAAGGTAGACGAGTCTAGTCACTCGAGCTGAAGGAAATACTAAAAGATGTAAATTCTACATTACTCTGTCCTGGTGAAAAAAAAAAAAATGAACGATGTGAGGGCTTTGCCGTTCACAACAGACCTTTCGAGCATGAAACCGTCAATAGCGGCGCATATTTCGCAAATTTAGGCTGATACCTTGATCTTGGTTGAAAATAAAATTGTCATGGAATCAACATTTAGTTTCTTCTTCAAGAGACGAGCATCTTAGTGTTGAAATGAAAGAAAGAACACTTTTCAGGTCTAATAGCAAAAATTATAACCATAAAATGATAGCAAATAGAAATACTATGAAAGACGACATAAGTTATCCCGCTGTATTTCATGCCAATAATTTATGCCTTGTGCTTTGCTGCCAACTAATAAAGTTACTTCTTGTCAGGTTCTCTTCATGGTGACGTTACTTTCAATGTTGGTGGACCAGTCTGGGCAATGGATTGGTGCCCAGTACCAGGTAACTCATCTAGTTTGTGTCCCTTTCAGACCTGTGTTTTTAGAAGTTTGATGCAGTTATCCAGATGGGGTACAAAAGATTAACCATAAAACCATTATTTACCTTGCTTTGTTTTGTGATATGTATTTTAGACTCAACCAAGAATTCAGATCAGTATTTGGCAATTAGCACGCATAGATCATTCGACGAGGTGAGTCGACAGAACGTCTGATAATTTGAAGTATGACTCAAAAGGGTGATCAAAGTGCTGTGGTCTTTTAGAAAGCAAAGTAACAACAAACTGAAGGTACTAAGAACGAATCAACCAACTTGGTAAATGAATGTAGGTGGTAAGTTTCTAAAGAAACTGTGGTATTGCGTCGGTGGGAGAGTATAACAATATAATTCGGTATTATCAACTGAGTTGATAACGTAAATTGGCCACCGTTGAGAGTTTCGAAGCTGACGTTTGGAACGTTAGCCCTTCGTCAGAGCGAAAGACGAAGGACTAACGCTCGAAACGTCAGCTTTGAAACTCTCAACAGTGGCCAATTTACGTTATCAACTCAGTTGATTAAACCAATCAACCAACTTGGTAACCGATTAAGAAGACACACAGAGATCATCACAACTCTCCCTTCCTCTTCTAATGGAGAACAATGCTACTGCAGCACAAAAAAGAGCACAGAATTTCTCTGTTTAGTTCTCGCTGGGCGACATTTAAGACCAGTTGTGCTGTTCAAGAATAGGATGGGAAGTTCGCTCAAAGATTAGTTAGCCATAAAGAATATCCAAAGAAACCTCTCAGTGAACTCAAGAAGCAGTTAGAGTATATTAAAATGAAACACTTTGATTGCTATGACCTATTTGATACGGTGTTCCTGCATGATATATATTAATTGAAAAAAATGACTTTCTTTCAAATGTTTGCCCCATATCTAAGGCGTCGCATTATTTCATCTTAGGTTCACAATGTTCATAAATGCTTTTCAAGAAAAGGACTTATACAACTGTGGAATGTTGGTCAGTTAAAAGTGAACTCAGCTAGGTAAGAGTTAATGATAGCTTTTTGGTTTAGTTTTTTTACAAACGCGCGTATTATAGATATACTTAACGTTTTTTGTTGTTACTGAATTCCTCATTTTAAAAAAAATCTTACAACAAAGAAGATTTTTAGTGTGAGATATATTCAGTGCGACTCTCGTTTGTGTGATAAAAGTGATTTCTTAGCGGTCATACTTAACCAGTTACTGCAAAACTCCATGTAAAATCGGTCGCAATCGCCTCCTCTGACTTTAACTGTTGGTGACATTCATGGTTATTTCATTTGTTTATTTACTTACCCAACCAGAAATTTTTAAGTTGTATTAAACAACGTTTTATTTCAATTCCTTTCAACTGTAAGTTGTGATTTTATTCTAAAGGATCCCTTTATTACCAACAAAAGAGGGCTTGCAGAATCAGTGCTCAACAAGTAACATAAGCCCTTTCCCTTTTCACAATTTAGCTGGAAAGCTCTTCTCTCTTTCAGTTCAGGGTCGAAACCAACCTTGTCACTCGGCATAGCGCACGACTTTGGTGCCATATGGGACATCAGCTGGTGTCCGTCTGGAACATGGGAACCTT